ATGGGTGTGTATACAATGCTAACTACCGAATGAACATCAAAACAGTTTTTTTTTATATTAATGTTTAGTAGATCTGTGCATATTATAAGTTTCTTCTTTATAATACTACTTTTAATTAGGACACACGTAATTATTACATTATCTCCTGTATTTGATATTGAAAACGAAACAATTAATATATTGTCGACAATATATAGGTCAATAAAATCCAATGAAATCTGTGAATAAAACATAAATAAAATAAGTTAGTACTCAATCCTTAGATGCTTATCCCCTTCTGAAATACTGGAGATGTGTCTTTATGTAGTACTAAATCCTTCTTCGATGCTTATTCCCTTTTTAAATATTGGGGATGTGTCTTTATGTAGTTTATTGTCTACGGTGGAATTCTATAGTTCATGAAACGTTTTGAAAATAAATTATTCTAATGTTATCCTATCACTGATTAACTCAGTTTTTCTTATGAACTTTTAAACCAACCGAGAAAATACTGTGAAATAGGGGAGACATTGACACCGAGACAAATACGTTACATTAACATGAAATATTGGAATCTATGCAATTTCTTGTTGTACTATTTTCATGTAGAAGCTGTAGCACGTTTTGAGAAGGAAAACCGTTTAACTATCTAAACATAGCCTGTACAAAAGAAAAAAAAAACTCATTTGAAGCAGTTAAAATTCAGAATGCTACTTCTTCAAAAGACTATTTTGAACAGCTAGAAGCAGTCGAATTACAAGAACATACTTAAAAGTCAGTGATGCGGCAGATTGTTTCTGTTATTTCGTATGCTTCCCTTGACTTTAACTATTTGGCTTGGTTCTTTTTGTAGAGCGGTGTAGCTATTTGGTTTCGTCATGTCGAAATTGTTTACAAATATACAAAACGACTCAAAATCATTTGTTGCATATACATATCAGTTTGTTGGAATAAAAACATGAAGAACAAGTAACGAGTCGATATCGTGCGAGGTTAAAAGAATGGCCAGTAAATGGTTATAATAAGCATTATTTAAAGTATTATATGATACTAAGATCTGAGACAGAAAAGTAACTAAACTTTTTTATGATCTGACCGGAATGAGACCTGTAGTTTTTTCTTACATGCCACAGACGATGACAAATAGCTACACGTTTCTTACATGCCACAGACGATGACAAATAGCTACACGTTTCTTATATGCCACAGACGATGATCGTTTGTTAATAAGTAAGAAATTAAAGGTCAGTGAGATGGTAGTATTCTGATAATTTCGAAAATGAAAATATTTATTATTTTACATTAAGAAAACAGAGTAGGCAAAACGGTCGATGATGTAGTAATGTCGCACGATCATATAGTGTCTAACCCAAAGTATGATTATCCTTTCTACGATGTGATGGAAGGCAAGATCAAAAAAGGAGGTATGAACAGTTCACTGTTGGTCCGTTTGTAATGTGCAATCATTTCAAACATATATTTCTGCAAGGTTTCACGTTGTTTAACCCAGTGTTTTAATGTTACAAGCATGTTTATAAAAGATCTGATTCAAGACACCAAAAAATCATAAAATGTCATTTCCAAATGGCTTGGAAAAAGACATACACAGAAATACACAAAGTTTCTATTTTTCCTTATCAGATGTTATCTTTCTACATATTTCATTATCTGACAATTATCAACTAAGTTATTTTTAATACTCTGCTAGACACGAATATAATACTTTTGAAGTTGCGTACAGAATATTGCATTACAATTGTTTTACAACAGAAGACGTGTTCCTTTTTCTTTCTCTTTTATTCGTGGAACAATAATGACAAAATTAAAGAAAATATGAGCTCTAAGTATTAATACGAAAACTTTTTCAGCATCAAATTTAACCACTGATAAAAGATGGAGATTTTTACTCATGGAGGGCGCATGTATGCGTATTTAAAGATATAACGAGTCTTAAAACCGTATAAGTGCATGGAGCTTACGCATAAGTTATAACCTGCTGCTAAATAGACAGTCCTCAATAAGATATAGCCCTTTAAAGGTGTAGGTGTCAACGGCCTTAGGATAAAAGAGTATTAGAAATAGACAAATTTACTTAGAATAATGTATTTCTCATGTCAGGATGACGTTTTATTACAAATCCATCGTCAGTTTAAATACGTTTTTTTCTTTAAATTGTTCAGTTAAGGAAACTGTAAATAGTGTTTAGCGTTCTTCACTTACTCGGCAAACTTTCATAAAATAGATGTTTAATTATGAAGTGGAGCATCAGTTTATGATGTAATGAATACAAAGTTTTCAGACCACTTTGCTCGCAACCAGTTAACTGAACATCTGGACGTTTTTCTCTTCTCGGCTAATTTTTTTACTTGCACCTTTGATTCGAGAAGAAAACTTTCAAGTGTATCATATTGGTTGCTGAAATATCATTAAAAGCTGAGTATTATCTGTTTTATATAAACTGTAGAAGAGTTATCTACTTTTAGGATACAATAAGCAGGATAAAATATATTTATAGGTATCAGAATATTTTTATTTTCTGTTAAATTTTCACGATTAGAGTCAAATCTGGTTAGAATATAAATGTTCCAGGTAATCCGTTTCATGTCGACCAACAGAACTTGATAATGTTGAGCAATTATAGAAAATAGTTATCGATGTGGTTATTAATATTTTCTGACGTGTAAAAAAAAGTTTGATTTGTGTATTTTGAAAATTAAAAATTGCACAACGAACAGAAAAATACATCATTAAAAAGAAGAAGAAAAATGATGCTCATAAGAGATCACTAAGAGTAAGATGTAACAGATTATAAAATGTCACTGAATTAAATTTTACAAATATTTCGAAAGCATTAATAATCTTTGACATTATGCAGTAACTAGAAATAAGAAGGTTAAGACATATGAAGGTTTAACACCTTGAATATTGTTACGTGCATTGGTAATATATTATCTTATGTAACAATCGAATTCTTAACTAACCTCTACTTATCGTTATAGAATAAATAAAGGGTTGAGTACGTTCTATTAAAACATTTTGAATATATAGATTAGCAAGTCACGTGACAATTACAGTCGATACAAAGTCGCCGAAAATTGTATGCTTTTGGGAAAGTATTTAGTAGTCTTTTCCGACAGAAAATATTTATACGCATTGACCATAAAGATGTGGTCAGATCGGGGACCAGACATGGATACTCATTGTACTTAATGGAACTTAATAATAATGTACTTAATGGAAAGTAATCAAATTGGGAAATCAGAAACATCCAGAAAAAGACCTTCAACAAGTCGTGGTAAATAAAGTGCAGCGTCTATTAATAGGTGAAAATCTACAAACATAAAAAAGTGGAGGCAAAAGGCGTCCTCTTGTCCAGAACAGCAGTACGCAACATAATGAAGAAGGATCTCCATTTTGGCAACGAGATTATCAGGGTATAGGTTTATCAAAATAAGGTTTGCAGTCATGTTTCACGTTTAACCCAGAACAGCAGTACGCAACATAATGAAGAAGGATCTCCATTTTAGCAACGAGATCTTCAGGGTATAGGTTTATCAAAATAAGGTTTACAGTCATGTTTCACGTTCAACCGTCGCATTCCTTAAGTAGCGGAAGAATAAAACGAGTATTCATACTATTTCCTACAAAACGAAGACGTAACGGTCAAGTCGCAGGACAGACTGACCATGGAGCCTTTTGCAATAGAAATATTGCTACGAGGCTATTGTCAATATGCACTGTCGTCAGTTAGCTTACGACCGGATGACCGGACATGGCGACACGAAGTTTAAAGATGAAATGAAACTCCAAAGTCGTTTTAATGTAACGTCTACATATTTGTGGCAAATGAAAACATTTAATTTAGTTTCTTCTTCATTTATTTACGTTGTTTTCGACTTAATACTATTTATAGAGTCATTAAGGCAAAGGATTAGTTTCTAATTTTATACATATCAAAATTTTTATATTTAAGTAGAAAAATGTTAGTGGCAGGAAATCAAACAGGTTTATGTTTACAGGGATAAGAACTCTCAACTACAACTTCTCCAGATCATAACACGATTAAAGCATTTCCTAATGATAGTATATTGCATTATATTATATGATATTGCTGTGTTCGGTCGAAATTTACCTAATTCAAAATAAGATAATGTGATATTTAAGTAAATACACACATAATAAAGTATCTATGCACATCTTTAAATAATTCAAACATCTATTCCTTTATCTAACATATTTCAGACGTATTTACAAATAATGTTCATCACATATTTCAGACGTATTTACAAATAATGTTCATCACATATTTCGGACGTATTTACAAATAATGTTCATTGCATATTTCAGACGTATTTACAAATAATGTTCATCACATATTTCACAAACCTTTCTCCAACTAACGAGTTTTTCTTTTCTCTATTTTCTTGTTGTTCTACTTTTTTAAATTCTGAATCACAGTATTTTTATTTAAAATAATGAATTTAGTTATTCATTGGGATATTTATCATATCTATCTTGTTATTTTGGTACCACTTTTAGGCCTTAGAAAAACCATTTAATGAATGTTAACTTTTTTATTTATGTATTGCGATGAAACCTTAAAAATAAACATTTATTTATAATTCATATCTATCAATAAATGGGAATCCATGCCGAACAAAAACATTACATGCGAATGAAGTAAAATATATATTAAATCCTCAGCAATGTTTCTAAAGAATAGATAAATATGCAGATAGATCATTTTTGTGATAGAATAATGAATTTTCTTTTCTTTTTATGGGTAATATAAAAAACTTCGTAAGAATGACAAAGAAAAAGTGTGACAAGTTTCAAGGCTATGTTTAGCACGAAATAAGAATGGCTAATGAAATTAAATCACCAAATGAGAGATGTTGAAAACACTTGTATTTTTGAGGGTGGTATTGGAACAGAAAAACCAAACAGAAAGTTATTGAGGAAATTATAGCATCGTAAGTAAAGTAAATGTTAACGTTTTAAGCAAGGGTGTAAAGTCTTACCTAAGAAAATAAAAAGCATTTCCTTGAAATGTTTTCCATTATGAACTAGCTGCTACACAGACACAATATCTGCTTCTCTTTCATTATGCTGACAGTTATTCGTATTGTGCGTTCACAGCTCTCAAGAAGTCACGACTAGCACTTAAGTTAAAAGAGAGCACTCAGTTGGGTTCCCTATACTCCTACATTTCCTGCGGTCACATCTGGCTCCAGCATGATCAGACAGAGATCACGAGACGTCCCAAATGCGTTCTGCCCGAGGCTCAGGAGCTCCTGTCGACCCACGTGTTTGAAAGTAAGAGATTGTTTGATGGCGACATGTGGTTCCCAGCGGGTAAATCAACTCTTACTTCAATCCTAATCTCTTCGATGATGACGAACAAGGATGACCAATGATACTCTTGGGTTTTGGTCAAGAGTTTTGGTGACAAGTTTATGAGAAAGATCTTAGACTTTGAGAAAAAAATCAAATATTCATTATCAAAATTGTAAAGTGTACTTTCACGAAATAAGATAAAGAATTGGCATTCAGAATATAAGATTTGTCATATTTTACATGACATTTCATTGAAGTTTATCAACATGCAGCAGAGCTGCTTGAATAATATGACAATCTCTATAGGAGACAGATGCGCTTCTGAGTAAGAGGGTTCTGTATAAGCTCAGGCAGAGTGGGTGAGTCGACTCGTTGCTAGGGGAGGAAATATGTGATTTTAGACCCAGAAACTGGAAAGAATGCTGAAAATAGTTAATTTGACCGATGACTGATGCCTTCGCATAGCTTGATCTATAAATTTCTATTTAAAACTATAGAACTCACAACAGTAAGTTGCTAAGTAACTACAGCCATATATTTATCAAAAGTTGACTATTTTATGATATTATGTCTACCCTTCTTTATCGAAATATTTGTTATACATTGAAGATTAGCATTTAATATATTGATAAAATATCAGCATAAAACATTTTAATATTTGACTTATATATAAAATTCAAGAAACGTTTCTACTAAATATAATATTGATAACAAATGAATGTGTAGTAGAAAAAAATCTTTCAATGATTTATCTAAATATTATAGTATTAGAATACAAAACTAACAGATAAAAACTTACTAAACAATAAAATGAAAAATATTATAAAAGTGAAGAAAAAAAAATCCAATGTGAAACTTTTAAAGTTTCCGGTACTACCAGGCAGGTGTTAACACATTCTCTATGTTGGGATGGATGGCTCGGATTGTTAATCGAAATGGTATTTCAAATATCTTATCTATAGGTTATCAGAAATTTACAGTACTATACAGTGTTTTTTTTATAGCAATATCTATGTAATGACCGAGTCACAAGTTCTGGGAATGTCTGTAAAAAAGTTTGAATTTATTGTTGTTTTTTCTTCTGCTTCTTTTTTATTACATGACACAGTTTCAAACGCAGTATCCACTTTTGTAAGTATTATTAATAACTAGTGGTAATTAAAGAAAAAAAAATCATAAGTCTAGTGTAAACGATGTTATCATTACCCCTTGAAGTTAGCTTTCTTACAAAATATCGTGTGTTTTTTTTTGTTTGTTTTTTAAAACTTAAGAACAGGGTGAAACAGGAATTACCAGCCAATAATAGATAAACAATAAATATTACACTTGGAACCTCATTGTATTTAGAACTTGGTTATAACTACAACCTTCCTATGTCTATTGAAACACTGCATTGAAAACAAGCAAAGAAATAGTGTCATGCTTCCGTATGAATGATCTGTATTACATGTACACTCATATATATATATGTATTTATTTCTTTTAAGATTATGTATTTACATAATTGCCCATCAGACTAACCAGGTTCGAACTCGGTTTGAATTAAAACGCGGACTACAGAACTAAATAGATTTGACTAACAATTAAGGAATTAAACTCGACTTATCATTTTAATAGGAAAAAAAAACACAATAAATTAGTGGACAAACTTTTATGTATTTCCGGTGACATCTACATGATTGGCCGAACTGAACAAGCACGATATATTAATTCAAACTATACTTGTAATATTATAAATTTAATATACAATTATTCTGTTTTATAGGTAGAAATCACACACTAAATAACTCAGGTTTATAGGAAGCAAGCAGGCTCTCAATTTTTCATGTTTGCTGAAAATATTCATAAAGTCTTGGCCAAGATTTTTGCATGCTGTTCTATATAAGTCTAGGACAATTGCTGGTATAGGACAACTGCCAGTCAAAAGATCTGAATAATTGAGATATTTTGACTGGATCACTCAGATCCATAAATATATGATATATATAATAACGTATATGTAAATTTTAGAACTCATTTTTAATATTGTTTTTTTATTTATTTTCTTTGAACAATGCTAGTTTGGTTCCCATGACCTATCAAATCAAAAGCTAACCATAAAAAGGCGGCAGTTGCCCATTGACAGTCGTCCTTCTCTCGTTCCATATTCATGTTATTGTCTACATGCATGGAGTAGTTATTAACTAAATGCCGAGTTGTTATTCTGGTCTGTATTAGTTATTTTCAACATTTGTTCGTCAAAACACACATACACACCTGTTTTGTATAAAAGGGTGTGCTTTTGGGATAATCATTTCCGAAACATATCAACGCTTTGTTCAGACAGTTTCTCTGTACTTGGTGTAGAGCCATGGCTCGTCATGTACCAGAAGTTATAGAGCGTCAAATTGTCCGACTGTCCAGAAATGTTATGAAGCAAATTAACATTACCAGAACAGTAGGATACCCCAATGTATTGTATCCAGAAATGTTATCGGACTACAGAAAACGTTGTTCCAGGAAAGTGTACTGGTAGACACCGAAAAACTACTGCCCAAGATGAACATAGTTTGATCAGTTAAAACACGTAAAGGTTGAAAGAAGTCTTGCAACACCTTGCGACAGGAATGGCTTGAACACATTCATTTCAGGTTATCCAGAAGAACATTGAATAAGATCCTGACCAAGCAAGGTTATTTGCAAGAAGGGTTACCTAAAAAGCGACATTAGCCAAAATTCACTGCCGTCACTTTTTTTACTTGGACAAGACAGCATGCCAACATACAGTTAGGCATTGGTGACATGTCATCTTTTTTAGATGAATCCCGTTTCCGGCTTCTTAAAGCTGACGATAGGATTCGTGATCGTCGTTTGCCTGAAGAACAAATGAAGGAAGACTGTCTTTCACACATGGAACATACAGGAGGTGGTGCAGTACATGTTTGGGCAGCTATTCATCATGGTGGAAAAACTGCTTTTCATATCCTCCAGAGAAACGTCACTGGCGCCTCCTACAGGCAGCACATAGAGACCACATTTCTGCCATATGCTAGGGCAAAGATTGGCAATAACTCTGTGTTCCAGATGACAATGCCACTGTCCACAGTGCGCGTATTGTACAGGATTATCTCAACCCTGAGTACGTTACAAGATTGGCATGGCCAGCAATTGTTTTCCAAATTGTAATCCTATTAAAAATGGTTGGGTAGAACTGAGCCGAAAACTGCTAACCACGACCCTAAGCCGGCTACTGTATCTGAGTTGCAGTGCCTTCTAGTAGCAATAACCTCATCGACAGTATGGCACGCCGCCTGGCGGAGATTATTAGAGTCCGAGGAGGACCATTCAAGTACTTAATGTTTAATATGAACTGATATAAGGTTAAAGATGATAATTTGATGTTATATTTTGTCGGTTATACGTTTTGATAAGGTTTTGTTGTGATAGTGAAATGCTGAATTACACATCTTTCTACAAGTGTCAAATAAAATTGTTTGCTGCTCTAATAAATCGTTCATGATGTCCATAGAACCTATCTAATTATACAAGTTATATATATATATATATATATATTTATAGATGTTTAATATAACATGCATTTCTCAGTTTGACAGTGCTAAACGTAACTGTATTCCATCTTAATAATAATGATCTTATTTGTTACAAGATATGCAAACATTTTGTTTCAGACTGTACATCTAGCTCAGTTTTACTGGAAGTAAGCATAGGTAATTACTGGAAGCATGCGGACAAAGATTCTATCTGACATTTAGCCATTTTTATTGGAAGCAGATATATTTTCAGTTAGCTACTTTACCGGAAGAAAGCATCCACATGATATCTGCTTATTACTTAAAGCAAACCGGCTAGTTACCCAATTTTTACTAGGAAATACCAGCCACCAATATATTCGTATCTACAGAAGGTGAACAACCAATAATAAAAGAACTCAATCACAGTAAACGGCACAACGTGTTCAGAGAACGCACGAATGTGTCGAAACTAGTTTCTCTGATATCAGACTTCTGACAGTTTACTAGCCTACCAAGCTGCTTAGTTTACGAAAATTATTCAGACACCCAATTATTTAGTTTTACAAGAAGGACTCAAGTATCCAGTTATTCAGTTTACTGGAAGCAACCACGCTCCCAGTTACCTAGTTTACTAATAGGGAACAAGCAAACTAACGGTTGTTCCTATATACATGAAACTATCGAGGATAAAATTAATCAGTATCAATAGAAAGCAAGGAAACACAACCAGTTTTGTAGGCAAACGTAATATTTTCATACTTGTAAACAAATCTCAAAATTATAACATAACCTTTTAATTATCGTAATGAATAGGAAAATAGGCGGTAAATTTTTGTCTTCAGATTTCTGTATCTGTGCACTGGTGTCAAAATAGTAATAAAAAGACAGAAACTATTTCTACGTGTTATATATTCTTCTAAAACACAATGTTTAGACTACCTCTTTAAATAAATAAATTATATATATATATATATATATATATATGCTAACGTTCTTAAATGTACGTGTCAATAAACTTGTAGTTAATCGTTGTCATGGTTAGTGTCCTATACGATAACCTAAGTCTAATTATTAATTAATAACTGAATGTTCTATAACGAGATATTTGACTGCTACATCCTTATAGTAAGTATTTATCTGTATTTGAGATTATAGAAACTTGAATCAAATATGTGAAACTAAGAAATCCTTTTTCAAAGCTTTTTCGGAAAATGTTCTATATTAAAAAACCTAAAATGAAATAGAAAAATAAAAGAAGCAGTCAGAGTCTACTAAATATCCCAGTCAAAAACTTAAACTCTAGGTCATTTTAAACGTCAATCCTGCATAACTGTAATAAAGTGTCGATGTAGCAGTTTTGTGAAACGAAGCAGAAACAAAATATTTCTTTTCTGTGCTCTATTTTTTATTTTTTAAGAAAACGTACATTTTTTTAGCTTGAAATTTGACCTCTGTGTCATGTAGTGTTTACGAGGGAACAGTATAGCAAATATATCGCCTTTTCTGACACAAACACTTGCGTTTCATCAACGCTAACCCTAATTCACGAAGAGAAACTGAAATCCCTTATGGAATGGGTGGGATTATATTTGCAGAGGGTAAGGGACTCTTTATATTTTTTGTTTGTTTTTTCTTGCACTTGTAGTAATTGTTTTAAGAACCGTCTTTTCAGAATATAGTTTATTTTAGAAAAGAAAGAATTATTATTAAGAACTTCAGAGTGAAAGGAAAAAATATCACACAATAATATGCCAACCGCACTGTTTCTGCTATA